ATTTTTCGGAAGGGTAAATTTTTGAATATTTAGAAAATTTTCATCGATTTGAAAACATTCTACTTTATGTTTTTTTTTTTTTATTTTTCGACTCTTAAATATACCGAGATAAATCAAAGATAAGCTAAGGTAAACGAAGAGGATCTTTTTTGGACGCGTGGTCGACAAATGGTCCTCCCACGTTCGAACCGAAAAAACCTTATTTCGTCTCGCGCGTAAAACTATGAAAGCGAAAGAAACAAACAAAAAAAAAAAAAAAAAAAATAGGGAAAAGCAAGCAAAGAGCGCTTTTTACGACACACTTTCCATTTTTCCTCGCGAACCCGCGAACCCTTCATTCAGAATCTTTCTAAAAGCCACCATCCCCCCTTCTCTTTCCCTCTCTTTCTTCTTTTTTTTAAACTGTATTCAACAAAAAGAGCGCGATGTTCAGCGTACGTCACGTATGAAAACGCGTGACATTCAGCCGGAAAGATGCCCCCGAATTCGTGCAATTCGCTTCGAATACAGGGAATAGAGACGATTATCGCGCGCAAAAGGAAAAAAAGAATGGTCCGAGAATTAAGGGCGCTGTCAATTAAACGTTACATTCGTATTCCATTATCGACTTCATTATTATCAAATAATGAAGTTCGATCGATTCGAAAATTAATTTACGATACGAATGATTTCGAAATAATAAATAAAATGTAATTGCCGAATTGTGAGGCAGACATATATATTCGACACGTTGATATATATTTTTCGTAATTTAGTTTGGTTAAAGTAAACAAAATTACATTTTGTTTAATTGTAACGAACAACAATTTCTCTCACTACTTTTCTGTGGATCGATCGAGTTATGGAATTTATCATCGATTATTTATTATCCGTTCGCGGAAAGAATTGCTAATTTGCTAATTTTCTCATATTTCTCGAGTAATCTCGTTCTTGGAACAATAAAAAAAAAAAAAGAGGAGGAGGAGGAGGAGGAGGGAACGAAACGGAGCAATCCGCGCTATTTCATTTTGTACTATCTATCAACTCTCATTTCGCTCTTATATTTTTAACAAAAAACTGCACTGTATTTACAATAGGCATTGTCTTTCACATTCTCCTTTATCCGAACTTTTATTGCACATTTCCCCACGGTGAATCGCTCTTTTGTTCCTCTTCTTTTCTCTCCTATTCCACCTCCCCCTCCCCCTCCCCCTCCCCCTTTCACTATGGTGCAAATTTTCTATTTTTTCGTATCGAAAATGATCGATAACGGGAAAAACGAAAAGAGAAAGTTTGTACGATAGAAAAACAGCGTGCGCGATGTTGATGAGGATGAGGAATAAAAGCATTCCTTTCGAGATCGATTTCTGATAAGCGAAAATTGTTGAAACGTCGTGATATTTTTTTTTTTTTTATTCCCGCTTCAGTGATCAGGTTCAAACTCGAGAAATTAAACGAAAATCGATATTGATTTGGCTAACATTGTTAAATTTATTCCATGTGAAAAAGTATTAAAGGATATTCGGAGGAGGAAGATATACTATTTTTATAGAAAATACGAATGAATATTATATCTCGTTTAAAAAATTTATAACTTCTAAATTAGTATCGTTGCAGCGTTATAATCAAGTAATATGTGTGAAGGGTTCATAAACCGATCAGTGAAAAGGTCTTTTTCGTTATTCAAATTTTCGACAAATCAATTATCTCGATACTTTAATATTGACTCGATTTAAGCCATTTTTAAATAAACTGTGACTTACATTAATCATCTTCTGAATCCTTCATATACACCAATATTAAAATTCTTCAATTATCTATTATAATCTTATTAAATGTTGTTCTCCAATTAATGAACGAATTATAGAAAAGGCACGAACGTTGTATTCGTTAAAAAAAGATGAAAAATCATCCATAATATCATAATTTTTAAGTAACCATCATTAGAATAGGCAAAATAATACCTTGATAATTTTAATCGACTTGTTAATCGACTATTATTATAATCTTACTCATTAAAAATTTTGTTTTCCAATCGTACAAATCGAGAAGGAACGGATCTTTTATTTATTAAAAAAAGATTCGTTTTTTAATAACCATTATTATAATATCATCATTATAATAGACAGAATAACTTTGGTAATTTTAATCGACTACTTAATCTACTAGTATCACTATAATATCACTAATTAAATACATCAAAATTTTGTTTTCCAATCGAATTATCGAGAAGGAACGAACTCTTTTATTAGTTTTTTAACAACTATTATCATCATTATAATAGGCAGAATAACCTTGGTAATTTTAATCGACTCGTTAATCGACTACTTAATCTACTAGTATCACTATACTATCACTAATTAAATACATCAAAATTTTGTTTTCCAATCGAATTATCGAGAAGGAACGAATCTTTTATTCGTTTTTTTAACAACCATTATCATCATTATAATAGGCAGAATAACCTTGGTAATTTTAATCGACTCGTTAATCGAGTACTTAATCTACTAGTATCACTATAATATCACTAATTAAATAAAATACATCAAAATTTTATTTTTCAATCGTACGAATTATCGATAAGGAACGAATCTTTTATTCCTTAAAAAAAGACGAGAGATCATCCGTGGGACACGTTCTTATTTTTTTTTTTTTTTTTTTTTTTTTTTTTAACAATCATCATCATTGTAATAGGCAGAATAATGCGGTGGTAATTTTAATCGACTCGTTAATCGAGCATCGCTCAACGTGATTAATCGGACGCGAGAATCGGTTTCTGCGCTCGCAGAACAGGCGAATTAATTCAATAACAACGCCGGTTCCACGTTGCATAATTCCCGCGCATCGTTAATTGCTATTCGTAATTCCGTAAATATGTAATCCACCCTGGGGGGGAGGGGCCCGTTTCCTTATTACGAATTCGTAATGCAAAATTGGTGCGACGAACCGTGTAACGCGATCGCTCCACGCAATTGCGTGTTCCAATGACTTCGCATTATGACAATCAATCGCTCGTTTTCGTCCTTGCGACCGCGCTGTTCAATTAGAATTAATTCGAACACGGCGACATAATCTATCCGTAATCTATTAATACAACGGGCTGTTGTGCGCGCGGCTGCAAAAATTTCTATCCCCAACACTTTGTAACGTGAACGTGTTCGATATTGTACGCGATACGATCAATGGGGCATCCCACGTGTCATAAATTTTGTTGCACAATTCGCAATGCATATGGGCTGCATATTTTATCACGTCACGATGCAGCCTATCTGATGCAACCACACGCAGATGTTAAAAGTGTAAAAGTGTATCCATTCATTCATTGCGCGTATTATATATATATATATATGTAAACACCCGATGATAACCGTCTTACGTTTTGTTCTACTGTATATTATCGTGTTGTTATGCATACGATACGATTTGTACTTAAAGATGTCGATAATTGAAAGGATGGAAAAATAAACGAGCGTTACAAGAAGTAAAACGTACGATAGATTTGTAAAAGATTAAGAAAGGGGATGAAAGGGAGGAATTATAACTAGGTGATGATTTAGTACGAAACTTTTTCACGTTGGCAGCACGAAAATCCTGATATTTTGAACGAAATTTCGAACTTTCAAGGATAACACGCTTCCGTTTGTATATGCATTATAATCCACCTTTTTATTCATCCATATAATAAGAGTTAATATTTTTACTTTGCCAAAATATATAAAGTTGTAGAATTATTTTACATTTACGGAATAATTCTCTTTCCATGCGAACGATAAAATTTCGTTAATCCATGCTAATAACGTTTTTACGACTATTACTTCTATCATTGTAACTTTGATACAGTGAAAAATAACTTATACTGATTTCTTTTTCAAATCAAAAAAATTTTTTGCATTTATTCTACTTTAAATAAATATGTTAAATCATGTTTATAGATATTTGACAATGTAATCCCTACATTATCAACCGGTTCCGCCATTTCGTTACGTCGTTCGAGAAAATGGCGGCCGACAACAGAAACCAACCTAACCTCAATCCTTAACCATTGGACGTGGTTGGACGAAGGTGTGGGAAAATATTCATAAAATATTCATCAAAATACATACGAAATCGATGAGAAATGATCGAATGCATTGGTCTCGAACGAGGGAAACGAAGAGAAGAGATAATAAATTGAGAATCGGGAGTCTGGATGATTTGCAACGAAACTGTAAGCGTTATATCGGGATTGTTTAATATTCCATTAACGAGAACGAGGCGAAAAATCTAGCGAGATCGGTGAACGAAATATGCCACGGCCCTTTTCTATCGTAATCCACGCGCGAACTGGCGAAAGGAGAAAATATCCGATTAATCGGGAATCGAATTCGCCGGATACGCCGCGAAATCCGATTAATTTCCCATCTCCTGCATTATTCCCGCCGATTTCGACCGTTTTTACCACGCGGGCACAATCTCTCGTGTTGTTTTCGAATAAATTTCACGCAATCGTTCGCCGATTCTCTTTTAAATTCTTTGGAAGGTGAATATTCTGCGCGATGTAATAAAAAATTTTAAACGTTTTGTTCGATTTCCGCTTCTCTTTTTTCTTTCGAAAAACTTTCGATGAATTTTTTAAAAAATTCTTTTGTGATGTTCGCTTCTTTAAGATGGAAGTTTTTGAATATATATATATATATATCTCATCCGCTTTTTTTCGAAGTATAAATAATAATCCACGTTGTGGATTCGAAATTTTTAAACTTTTATGAATAATAATATACGGTTTTGGTATTAAAATTTGTTAAAATAAACGTTTCGAAATTGTATAAGATTTTTTGGTATTTTTTCGATATAGGTATTTCCCAATTTTCTCGAGAAAATGAAAAATTTTCTAGGAATAACGGCGAAGGAAAATATCAAGAAGAAGCCATAAATTATTGAATCTTACATCGATAAGCAGTAAAACACGTCCAATTATCGTTTTCCAATTAAGATAAACGAGAAATTAATCGACAGACGTAGAAACAGAAGTCATAACTTACCTGATAGAGCACGTCTAAGGAAATTGGGTAAACCATCTGCTCGACGATGACTCTGAGAACGGTATTGGGCCCCCCTTGGGTCTCTGCTTGTGTCTGAGCCACCTGATTCTGTCCAGGAATCGCGACTTGGTTGTTCGAGTTCTGTAACAAAAAAAGACAAGTTAACGTTAATCATCTATTCTTTGGAGGAAAAATATTCTGGGAGGAAAAGAAAAGAAGAAAAAGAAATATTTGCCATCCATTTTTAAAAACTGGTATTGTCGTTTGTTTCATCGAATACGAAACGTTGTGAATCAATGTGTAAGAATCCCAATCAATATCTTCAACTCAACTGAGATAACAACTTCATTATCAATTTAAATTAAAAGCACAAATATACCGCTTCGCAGATTTTCAATTTCCCATCCAAATATAAAATAAACACGATTACTACGAATCCAAAATAAAAAAAAAAAAAAAAAAATAAAAACAAACCGTTTCAAATTGCATAAAAGACCCAAATTCGTATAAAATTAATAAGCTAATAACTTTACGTGTTATAAAATTTTTAACACAACGCAAATATTAATACATCGACACGTATATTCCCATAATTGTGACACAAAAAGAATTCGAATTTTCTTCAACGTTGAAGTTGTTAAATACGGTCTTCGAGTTGTCGAGTTATCGCCAGATGTCGCCGTGTGTACAAACTTCACTCAACACAGGGTGATTTGCATAAAATGGCAAAGAAACGCGGTATATTGCGTGTTTTTAATCAACGACGAAACGAGTTACGAATCGTACTTTTTTTTTTCAAACGATACACGATTGATACACGTGTTTCCACGATACCACGAATCGGTAATTTTCAAACCGTTCCCCCGTTTGGGCAAACACATTTTTCCGGATTATCCGTCGATAAAAGAAAGGAGAAAAAAAAAAAAAAAAAAAGGGAAAAAAAAATGTGAAGTTCATGCGTCACGGGAGTGTATTTTCATCCATTTGCGTCATCCCTGTCCAAATAAAAGTAAACACGTTGTGTACACCGAAAAGTAAAACACACATAGCAATTACTTCGATTCTGCACAACTCATTCGAAGGAAGGCACGACGGGAAATGTTTGAAAAATGAAAGATCAATAATGGCGGTACAAAAATTAAAGTATACGTTTTTATATATCTCGAAGATTAGAGATAAACGAAATTACCATCAATTAAATTACCATTTAATTAAAAACTATTCCTCGTACACAGAAAATGTCGATATGTAAGATGAAATTGGCGTGGAATTCGTCATGGTTTTCCCACTATACAATCCTGTATTATTCTGATGTTCTGCTATACAGTTAACGGATCGAACGTTACGTGAGTTACATGTTTAACTCACGCTCTCATTTAGTCGAAAGATTCTGCGAATTAAATCCAATTCACCTCGAATCGACTGGACTCTACGCTCTATGAATGCTTCACGCGTAAGTAACGTTGTTGCATATAAGAGCGTATAATCGTAAAATCAAAAATCTGTGTTTAAATTATTCCTCAAAATTTGTCGAATCGATAAAAATATTTTAACAACCATTTTTCACGTTCGATCTGTTAAAATTCATATATACGTTAAAGCTACGAAGTATCGAAGTAGTGCACCAAGTTTTACGGTCTAAAATAAAATTTCACTCTTTGGATCATAACTTTATAGAGCGGAGCACGATCGATATCTTGAAAATGAATTCATTTAAAGAATCTGCGCGGAGAGGTGTTATTATATCTTAAGGAAATTTTCAAAGTTGTAATCGTGAATTGCTCTCGAGAATATCGACAGGTGTCTCGAACGAATTCTATGATTCAAGGTACTCGAGGATAATTGAAATTGAACAAGATCACTTCGAGCCGATCACTTTCGCCGACAAAAATATATTAATTCCTTGAATAACAGCGAAGAGATTCTAAAGTGCGTCCATTGGCTAAATCAGTAAAAGAAGTAAGAAAAACAGGAATATTTTCGTACACTTGGATAATTCGAATTTTCTTGCGCGATGACAATTTTGAAGCATTTATGATGGTGGTCTCGGTCGGTCACGTAGATCGTTCGATTCAAAATTAGAATGGCCACCAACGAATATTTTTTACATCAAACCGAAAACATAAAAATTACTGGCAATTCAATGGCGTGTAGTAAAATGGATATAATAAAATTAAACTAATAAAACTCTTCGAAACTTCCAGCTATTCCAGTTTCCAGTGATATTTTATTTCGCACATCAGTGCATCAATTTTTCGACAACATGGAATTCTAAAAAATTCTCAATACAGGTTTCCATGTTCGATTTCATCGATTTCTCTTCAAATTGTAAACATTATATATTAGAATACCGTCCAATAATTCTTCTCTAAGAGCAGCTCGAGAATAACAGTTTTCAGAGTCACGTGCATTCCTCGAGTATCTTGAATCATAGAATTCATTTAACGTTATACCTGTCGATTCTCGAGAGCGATTCGCGATTACAACTTGAAAAATTCTCTTAAAACTTCGAATCATAGAATCCATTTGTAAGATCGTGCCTAACTCCGCTAAAATTACGAACGAAATTTCATTTCGAGTCCTCCTCCTGTTGATCGGAACAAGGTCTTCTTCACCGCCTTCGAGCCGTAAAGAAAGATAACTGGAAATTACGGATGGGACGTGTGTCATGTTCCCAGCATGAAAGCGCTCTCGTTACCGAGTTTCGTTTCAACTTTGTAAACTGTTGCCGCTGGAATCGTATCTCGTCCACTTTTATCTCGGTCGCGTGATCCCTCCGCCCTGATCGTTCCTCAACCTCGTTCATCTCTAATGACTCTGCAACCCTTCCTCGCGTATGATTGTTAAACTTTCGGTTCGAATATTTTTATACCCGAAAACTCGATAGGACCCTCTGTTCTGGAATTTAATCCCCGGCCAAACAACAATTGCACGCGATTTCCAGCATACTTACAAAGAAAGAAAATTCGTATTAAAGTCTGTATTGTCGTTTTATTTTAATAACAATAAAGCAATTGCCAAGATGCATCCTCGATTTCTCTTTCACCTTTCCTATTTTGTCGAGAGCAAACTTTATAATCCCAACGACGTGCTCTCACGTTCACTGTTATTCTATTATTCTTATATTACATCTCCATTCTTCTATCGTCAAATTTTTCTCAACGAATAGAAATAATTTCGTTGTTTGACTCGCATAAATTAATCCCTTTTTTCGTATCATTCAGCTCGACGAAATTCGGGCAACGTAGATTACAAGAATCGTAATTTTTTCTCGAGGCGTAAAAATTAAATCTCGATCGAAAAAATTCATCCCACTCGTGATGTTTAGGTTTAGTTGATCTTCAGTTCACGAGTTCCTTCAGTTCACGTTTGGACCGAAATCTTCATTATGAGTCAGACTCGTGCAACAAGGGGTTAACATGTAAACTTTTATATTTTAATATTTTACGTATCTTTATACATACAAGGAAAGAAGATTCTTTGAATATTAAAGTCTATTTTAATAATAAAGCAATTGCCAAGATGCATCCTCGGTTTCTCTTTCATCTTTCCTATTTTATCGAGAGCAAACTTTATAATCCCAATAACGTGCTCTCACATTCACTATTATTCTTATTTTTCAATTCTTCTTATATTATACCTTCATTTTTCTATCGTCAAAATTTTCTCCTTATTTAACATACATAAATGTAAAAAACTTTTATATTTCAATATTTTATGTATCTTTACAAAAACAAAGAAAGAAAATTCGTTGAATGTTATATTGTGTTATTTTAATAATAAAGCAATTATTAAGATGCATCCTCGGTTTGTCAGGGCAAGTTTTCATCACGATGAAATGTCGTTACAAATCTTACGATAACGTGCTCTCATATTCACTGTCTACTATTCTCATTTCTTCATACCTTCTCTTACTGCATCTCTATTTTCCTTTTTCCTATCATCAATTTCTCAACGAATAA